AACATAAGTACCAGAAACTGTCACAGGCTGGGTAAATTAGTAAATATAAGTGGCAAAATAATCGGGAATAATCAAATCAACTTAAGCATCCTTTACAAACAGAGGGTGACTAAGAAAGCCAAAAGCATTTTGTGTGTCTCACCCCCTCCATTTTTAATTCACACTTCTCCCATCCTGGAGACGCCAGGTGTAAAACCAACAGACTCAGGAAATCTTTCATCCCCACTGCAATCACACTCTTCAACAATGCAAAGTAACTACCTTCTCTCTTGTCTCTTGTTTCTTTCTCCTGTCACACTGTTGTATTCTCTTCCCTTTTGATAATGTGTATTGTCATTGTGTTGTGTTTGACTGTGCTGTAAAACAAATTTCCCCTAGGGGACAATAAAGCTTGAAATCGAAAAAAATGAAATTGAAATTATACCGATAGCATCAGCAGACATGCCAAAACATTAATGTTGAAACATTTTAAATGAGAGGACTGCATGGAAAAAATGAACCTTAATATCTCTTGAAGTGTCAAGGGAAGCAGAAAGATAGAGATTATAAGTGTTAGCAATGTAAGAAGTAGGCAAAATAATCTAATAGAACAGGCTGGGGATGGTGGAAGTGGTTTAAGGAGGGAGAAAATTATAGAAATTAGAGACAGTAGGGGTATTCAGAGGAACACTTAATGGAGTTAAGGTAAGAAAGACAAGAGATGTTCATGGCACAAGAACTACAAATTATTCTCAGCAGAATGTGGAATAATTTTGATTGACTATAAAGTACCAGCAGCCTTATCACCCTGCAGCTTTCAACTGGCTACCTACTGAAGCTATGCAGGGTTAAGCCTGGTCAGTACCTGGATGGGAGACTTCCTGGAAATCTATGGTTGCTGCTGGAAGTGGGGTTAGTGGGACCAGAGGGGGGTGCCCACCCTAAGGTCTGTGTGGGTTCTAATGTGGGGACACTATACTGTAGTGGGCGCTGTCTTTCGGATGAGACGTTATACCGAGGTCCTGACTCTCAGTGGTCATTAAAGATCCCCGGGCATTTCTTGATAAGAGTAGGGAGTTATCTCGGTGTCCGGACCAAATTTCCCCCCTGGGCCTTTGCCGTGGCCTCCGAATTGTCCCTATGTATGATCGGCTTGCACTGGCGTCCCGTCCAGGGTGTACCCTGCCTTGCGCTCGTTGCTTGCCAGGTAGGCTGATGCTGAGGCTGATGCTTCCCGCAACACCATATGGTGTAAAGCGGTTTGGCAAATGACATGACTTGACTATAGAGTAGGGAGACACGGGTTGAGAGGGAATAGAATGAGCAGGTTGGATAAGTGAGAGGATGGAAAGATTCATATGAAGAAGTGATTTGAAGGAAAAAAAATAATAATAATTGCTTACACTTATATAGCACTTTTCTGGACACTCCACTCAAAGCGCTTTACAGGTAACGGGGACTCCCCTCCACCACCACCAATGTGCAGCATCCACCTGGATGATGCGACGGCAGCCATAGTGTACCAGAACGCTCACCACACATCAGCCATCAGTGGGGAGGAGAACAGGGTGATGAAACCAGTTCATAGATGGGGATTATTAGGAGGCCATGATTGGTAAGGGCCAATGGGAAATTTGGCCAGGATGCCGGGGTTACAACCCTACTCTTTTCGAGAAACGCCCTGGGATTTTTAATGACCACAGAGAGCTCTTCCTTGTTTTCCTCATTCCCTGCACCTATTCCTTGTTCAAGCCTCCTTCCAGCCCCCCTTAAAAGCCAGGCGCTGACATAAACCCGGGCTCTGCATCTGATCTCCGCATCTTGGAGCCCAGGACCTGGTTGCGCCTGGCTCTGTTATGTTCTTAGCTTCCTGCCGGTCCCGACCCGGCACCTGTTTTTAATCCCTGGTTTTTGGATGGATTACACGGACGTGGACCTTTGCTTTTGTTTTGGATTTCCCCTTTGGATTTCTACTGGACTGTTTGCTTCGGCCACACCTCCCTCGTGCACCAGTGCACTTCGAACACGCCCCCCTGTTTTCATCCTCATATTCCTGCATGACTTTTTCCCCAGTGTTTCCTCACTATTTCGGATTGTGTCGTCCGCATAGGGTCCGGAAAGAACTGTTCCGTTACAGTGTCCCCGTCACTATACTGGGGCATTAGGACCCACATGAACCACAGAGTGAGCACCCCCTGCTGGCTCCACGAACACCTCTTCCAGCAGCAACCTGGAATGAAGTTAACAGAGACTGAGAGCAGAGGGAATGAGTCAATCACACACAAAAAATGGTTAGATAGATAGATAAGACTTTATTGATCCCAAAGGGAAATTGATGAGTAGAGTAGAGGAGTAGAGGAGGTGAGAGTAGAAAGGTGAATCAGGGATAGAAAAGTAGGAAACACAGAGAGGGTGGAGAGCAACTCCTGGAGTAATTGAGATCTTGCCCAACTGTTGCTCAGTTTTGTGAGAGATGAAGGGAATAAGATGAAAGGATCTAAAGGAGGAAAAAAAACAGTTAATATCTGAGCAGTGAATACTGATGCTTTCCGAAACAAAAAAAAAGCGATAGATATGAAAAGGAACATTTTAATATGCTAAAGCCATTAAAGGGAGAGTTTTTTTTTAATCCAGCCAGAATCTCTTTGTAATTCTTTAGCCTTTCATCATACTGTGAACGTTACAGCACAGAGCCTGTACTCAGCAGTGTGAAATTTATCAAAGCAACCTAATGGTTTTGCAATTTTGATATCTTGCGTATATGAAAGAAGAGGGCTTCAACTGAAAGTTTTAGAAAACTGTCAATACAGATTTGCAATGGATTTTATAATTTAATGATTTCATATGCCTGAAATGAAATTAGATTTTTTTTCTTCAAAAACAGAACACAAACATTTAACCCATGAAAGCATGAAACTCAACATTGGTTATTTTCACACTAAACACGAACTTATCTATCATCAAGTGCCACAATTTTTTAAGCCACTGTGCTCACTAGGTACATATTCTATACCTTGGAGAGAATTTAATATACCTGCAAGACTGCAACTATAAAAAACAACTTTCTTGAATTTATTATTTTACTTGAACTATTTTTGGATCAATTTCTATCACTCATTTCACTACTAAATATCTATTTTAAATATATTTAATATTCTTTTCAACAATTTTCAAAGTATCTTGTGTGCCAATCAATATTATCAATACTGATGATCATTTTGTAGTGATACATAAAAAATAACCAAGACTATTATGCCTTAGTAGTTCAGGTTTAATTTTTGAATTTTTGTATTTTGTAATGTTCATTCTTCATTTGTACTCTTCTATACAAACTGTTTTTGAAGAACTTGAATGAAATGGACAAATTGATATAAATGATCATAATGTTACTAGAAAGTGTCTGTCAGAAATCAGGAAATATTTAAAAGAAACTAAAACTTGAAGAACTTGATTCGTCAGAATCAAAGAAAGATAAAGAAATAAAAGTTTAAAACTTGAGTAATCTTGTAAACCGCAACTGCTGTTAAAAGTGCTATTTCAGGAACTTTGAAAGAACAATAAGCATTTTGTTTAACATGTTTAGCAACAATATTTCCTGCGATAGAAAAGATTGGACACACGCCAAATCCTAACCTAACTAAAAGCCTTTAATGATTTTTTTTTTATCTTTGTATTCAAACAGCCTGTGAAAGTTTATGAATACCGCAAGTCCATTTCTGATTCGGGAGAATTTCGTTTATTTGTAATTCCCACAGTACATATGGTGTTACAATTAATTAAACGTTAATGTTCTTTGTGGTCGTTTATAAAAAATCTTGATAAACATCTTTGAAGCTGGAGTGTTCTTTTCTGCAATCCAAAAGTTGCCTTAATCTCCGTCACTATAAATATATGCTCCGCAATAAGAATAAGAATGTAGATATTTATTATGGTTTATGGTTGTATTTTTCGGTAGGCTGCACTGGATGCAAAATAACGAGGCTTTATTATCCTACCCAATATGCTTGCATTAACGAGGTTTATGTACACACGTAAAGCATGTAAGCCAACAAAAATATAAAAAGGTTTCTGTGGAAAGTGGAGGCCATTAGGTCCATTAAGCTTATTTTCTTTCTAGTACTACTGTAGGTTAGCTTGTAAGGACAGAAAAAGTTGAAAAGGAGAGGAGGAGAAAAGACTAGGAACGAGCGCGGATGATTCACCACGAAAGAAAATCTCAAGTCTTGAACAAGTACAGCGTACTGTATATTGACAGCTTTAAACGAGTACAACTAAAGCTGAGTTGTTTTAAGTTCTCTGAAAACTGGTTCCAATGCACAACATGCAAATAAATTACATCGATAAGATAAAGGTGTTTCTTCTATACTTCGTCATACAGTACTTTATAATTGAGAATAATCACGTACAGGTCCATGGTACTGTATTACCAACAGCAGAGAAACTATTGTTACAAATTCAATAATAACTGAGGCAACGGTAGGCTACAACAATAGTGCAAATTCGATCTGAGTGAGACAAAAAAAAATAAAAGAACAAAGACATGGAGAAACCACGTCAGACTACATTAGTTTAATTTCTGTAATCAATGATTACTGGAGCATCGGCGGCTTTTGTTGCAATCACTTACAATCTTACAATCACTTTTTCACCACTGACCTTTCAATGATAATGTGTAGCAACACTGAGACATCATTTCATCTGTCAACGTCGACATTAAATGCAGTGAAAGTTACATAATATTGTCTTTTTATAAGAGGATGTGGCACACATCTCGAATACTGTTAGAAAAACTTACGGAGGAGGTTTTGACCTCAGAGAATGTTATTTTAATTTCCCTAAGGAATTAATACAAACCGGTAGTATCCAAATTACTTTTACACTGCGAAAGTTAAAGAAAATATGGTGCTCTTGAAAACTAAAGCCTTGTTCGCGGAAACAGTTTATTTGCTACTTTCTCATCACCTCCGAAAAGAAGTGACAACCCACTGCCACCTCCTACCATGGCAACCGGTAAAAAAAGGGGCCAATAAACTGGGGCTGAATTGGCAAGAAGAGACGTGGCGGAGAGGAAGAGGGGGGTGTTTTAAAGGTCACAGGTGTCTCAGTTGAATTTTCTCTCACTACCCACCGAGCTCACCATTTTCTTGCCGTCTGTGAAAAGTAATCCTCCTGAGCGCTATCGCCGTTTAATCATGTGGAGAAAGATTAGAAGTGTTTTTGTGGCCCGTTTCCAAGACCAGAGCAGCTAAACTCTTCTGGTGGTGCTCCCGCTGGTGAGTTTTTGCAATCTTACTAACTCGTGGATGCAACCCAGTTTGCTCGGAAGGAGATAGCACTTCCCCTGCAGAAACTTTCGTATCAGTTTACAGGTCGGACGACGAAAAAGTATCTGAAGCCACATAATGTTTAAGAAAAGCAAAACCAAAGTACTAATAGACGATGGATCGGAAGAAGACGACATCACATTAAACCAGCAACCCGCACCCAAGGTAAGAGGAGACTCTTAACAAAGGACTTTAAAGCTGTGAGATGAACCTCAAAGGATCTGTACAGCACTGCAATTTTACGTGTCGTTACGTTGGAATTGCTTTGAAATAAATCTTTTATGGCCGTTTTTATCCCTTATAACAAAATGGTGTTTGCAATAACTCGGCTTTTTTTGGTAAAACCGTAGGGGATTACGGTATTTTCAAATTTGTTTAAATTTGAAAGTTTGATGAATCAGCGTTTTTGGTTAAAAAAGGGGATTTAGACTGCATTACTTTCTTTAAAAAGTAACGCTTGGGTGGTATCGTTTGTGAGTGTGGAATTAATACCGAGGATGTGATAGAGACGCGCACAAGGGTGGACTTTATTACGTGAATTTACGCGAGAGCTATCAGGACGGCTATCGGGGTTTTCAGTAGTTCTGCTGCTTTGATTGTTATTAGTGCACTGACCTGGACATAACCCAGCAGCGTTATCCTCTACTTCTCGTAGAAGCTACTTCTTGACAAGATAATAAAACTTATAAATATTATAGATGACAAAGTTTACACAGTAAAACGTGGTTACACAAAGTAGCCTACATGCAAATGTATTGTTAATTTTGAAATCAACATGAAACAGTCAAAAGCTATTGCTGTTTGTTACCCACAAACACCCCCCCCCATCTTATACCACGGAGTAATCACATTCTTTCAGGCATGAAACCATTTCTGAGCTCTGATCCAATCTAGGGGATTTAGAGGAATGTCTAGGAGACCAATGCTGGGTAAAGGCAAAATTAACTGGAAATGAGCCATTGTTTTTCTGCGATCTCTTTTTAACATGGTTTGCAGTATTGCCCCCAGCTGGGCCAGTAGGTGTGCGCTGAAATACAGCTCCCAGGGCTCAACTGCAGTAGCCATTTTGCAAAGGAACACTGAAGGTCAGGTTGAGAGTTTGAAAGCAGGATGCTCCCATTAATCTGAATCTGGGTGAAGATCTTGAGTAACCTGTAACATGGTTTATCGGCTCAAAATACTCAGTTAAGTTCCTGCCTATAAAAAGTCATTTTACCATGTCTCAGTCTACTATTTCATGGAAAAGATAAAAACAAAACAGTCATCAGAAAAAAGTCAGTGACCTAAACAAGATAATACTAAAAGTTCCTACTTTCCTTAGAGTGTTACATTAAAAAGAAAAGCACACATAGTAGTAGAGAGCACTGTCTCAAAGCTTTTTTTTTTAGGTGGTGTTGAAGCACCAGTGTTGCTTTTCAGATTTGATTTGTTAAACATGATCTGTATCTTAAACTTAGCATAGAGTTTACAGAGAGAAGGCCAAGCATAGTTTCCACGAGCAAAAAAATGAGATCTCCAAAACACAAATGCAGGATAAAGGTTCTTTGAGTCATTTCCCATCTGAGTTTGCTAAGTGGTGATCAGATATGTTCAGCATAGATAGGATGAAGATAAAACCTTAGACCATCTGCTATTTTTTCACAGCCAAGACTAGAATGCAAACAACTGAGATTATATGTCTGGGTAAGCCTTTCTCTGAAAGTATGACATGTTTCCAGGTGCTTAACAAAGTGAAGTGGTCACTAGTGTGCAGTGAACTAAGGAGGCTTTTACTGGTAGATTTAGTAAATGGTAAATCTTTTTGAGGATCACAAGATGACCATATATATAGCACCCTTTCTGTAGGGAACTTTACTGTTTTTTTTTTAATTACCCTGGCAAAAAACCCCTTTGAGGGCTATAGATTCATTTTTTTTATTCACTACATTTTGTTTGCTTTGATGTTTGTATTCAAATTAAAACAGGGTATTACTACTTTAGCTTATAGAAAAACTGTCAAACAGCATACCACAGAGATTTATATTTAATTAACACATCAGGGGTTAATAATATCTGGAGAACAGTGGAGAAAAATTGTCCATGCTCTGATTTGGGTTCAAAGCATTTACTTTTGATTAGATTAATTTCATTTGCTTGAACATACTGGGATCTTTAAACTTGCCTCACTTGTTCTTTAGCTCAGTAGCCACTGATCAGCTTGTACCACATATATATTACCCAGTCAAAATGATCTCTCTCTAGGAACGGGTGGTAAAGATTTTGACTAGAAATCAAGGCTATTGTAATATTTTGATTTCAGGCTTTTTGGTTCTCTGCAGCATTTCTCACTGTCCTCATTGTTTCCACTACTAAAGTTTAAAAGGTAATATTAAGTGCATTTTCCATCAAAGTAATCCCAGTTTTAAAACAGTGCAGCACATGTGAATAACCATTTAATACTCCAGTGACATGAAAAGAAGCTTTAGTTAATGGACCTTCAAGGCAAATAATACTGACAACTGTCAAAATGCAGCATTTTGATGAAAGCATGCTGAGATGAGTGAATACATGCATGGGTTTCAAAAGTGGGGAAAAAAAGAAAATCTCCAGAGAATGATTTTAGTTCAGGACAGCTAGTTTGCTGTCTTGCACCTACTTTTGCCATGGTGCTGTCTCTTCCAATGAAAGCTGTTGTCTGCAGAGATAAGCTGGATCAGACTATAAACCTCAGCCCTGTAGCTTTGATGTCAACAAAAACATGCAGTAGAAAATATTGCAGCTTGATGCATCCCTTTTTTTGTCAGAACCTTCACACATTGATGTTGTGAATGATAAACTTTTGTCTTTCTTAGTCCTTTGATCTCCTTCGGTGGCAAATCTGAAACCATGGTATGCCCAGACATGTTGTGTCTCGGAGTTCTTAAGCTTCCATTCTACACACTTCAAAGAAGTGTCCTAAGGGATTGTATCTACATTATTATTAATGCATTAGTGGCGTCATTGTCTCTGATTAATTCATTAAATAGTCACTCAAAAGACCACTCTCTGCAATGTTTTGTTTTTCGCTGTTCAAGGAGCTATTCCCGTTAATTAAGCTCCGCCACTGTCTGTTTATTTAAGACTACGGTTCTAGTGCTATAAAACAACAGGAAGGAAAAAGAGGAGGTCATGCCCTAGCATGAACTGAAGGTAACCACTGCATTAGTTGGATAGTTTTACTTCACCTCAAGTGATTTTCAAATCTGAAGATGATTGTGCAAGTTTCACATCTAGAGGAAGATATTTTATGTTTAGTTGCATGTGGTTGGTTACTTTTTCTGCTATGGCATCCTGCTTTAATATGGATCAGGACTAATACACAGTTTTGGGAATGCCACTGGTAATTTGTGGTCTACAATACACAGAAATTTGTTGGGGCACTGTAATATAGGCTAATCTGTTACATTATTCTACCAGTGAAACTCAGTGGGCTATTTAATTCCAAATTTGGGTGAATTTGCAATTAAATTTTTCCGTCATTTAAAATGTAGTATTTTAAATTCTGGACAGTTAATTTACCATGATCAACCAAATGTGTTGATCTTGATAGGAACGACCCAAAGTATATGACAATACCATTTCATTTAAGAGAATACCCACACTTTAGTAAATATAACATTATTAATTCCATTCAGTATATCTCCTGTGCCTAAAGGCCACATTTTTAAAATTGTGTAATTGAAAAGGGGAGTTTGTCTTTCTTAGGCATTTTGTTTTTCCTCCTTTGTCCAAGAATTTTATGAATTTGAGGTGGTGATCTCTGAACTGTATGCGCTTTTATCAGTTAAGTATTTGCAGTTCAGTCTGGGAACTGATTACTTATTTACCCTATTTTGCTTACGTGTGCTTTAAGAATGCAAAAGCAACTCCTTTAAATAAGCAAAGGTCTCTTATGAAACCATTTATCCATTTTCTCTCTGCTTCATCCAATTTAGGGTCATGAGAGAGTCAGAGCCTATCCCGGCAAGCAACTGAGTCACCCTACACAGGTGCCAGTCCGTTCACTGGACACGCACAACCGCAGACACACATAATCACACCAGGGTCCGTTTTCCCACACACCACTTAACCTAGCAGTAAGTCTTTGGACTGTGAGAGTAGACCGGAGCACCTGAGGGCAACCCACTCACAAGAGGGGAGAACATATGGTACAAACTCTCCACAGATAGCACTCCAGGTCTGGAATTGAACCCAGGACCCCAGTATTGCAAGGCACTTTGCTGCTCTCTTATGAAGCCAGTTGGTTTTCTTTTTAAAAGAATGTACAAACCCATCACTGTGCTAAAAGCATTACGCATCAAGAATAGGAATGACATTTAAGTAATATGTCGTCAGTATATTTTCACCTGTTATACCAGTAATTGGGAGAACATGCCAACTTGCCACAAAGAGGTGCACCACATTAAAACCAAGGCCTCTGGAGCTGTGAGCCCCTTGTACTAACCACCATATCAGTCTGCTGCTATTTACAGTGGGAAATACTTTATTACGTATTTCAATAGTACATACCGATAGTGGACAAAGATACATATGGGTAAATGGGGGACACCAAGCATATTAAAAACATTGACTTTCACACGGGGATGGCTCATGTTAATTAAAAAAATAACATCCAAGCATGCTTAGGGTCATGTGCGAATGAGTTAGACAGGCCTCATCACTTTTAATTATGGCTAGCATGGGGTAAGAGGAGACCTCAGTGACTTTGAAAGAGGAGTGTTTTGGGGGGCATATTTGGCAGGAGCTTCAGCGATCAAGACAGCTCAATTCACAGCTGTTTCTTGAGTAACAGTGTCTGAGGTGATCTTGGCATTGGAACGCTGAAGGAAAGACCATCAGCATGGGGGGAACTGTGGACAGGAAAGCCTATTCCAGGATGGCGATAGCCCTGCATTGATTTGAAGAATAAAGCAAAACACGTGAGCAGCTACAAATCAATTGGAAAAATGTCAACCTGAAGTACAAGTAGCCAGTTTCATTAACAATGGTCTGCCAAAAGCACCGCGGAGCAGGATATCATAGTCAGGCTGCAGTGTACAGTGCATTGCCAGGTGTGACGAGTGGTTTGTACATTTGGCGTCAGGTGGCGTAAAGAATGCAGGCAGTTGACTATCAAGAGGTGGAAACATGTGATATTGTCAGTTGAATCATCCTCCCGACATGCTCTCAACAAACATTAACAATGTCCTGTGCATTATTATTGTGCACAAGTAGTCAACTAAAGAACTCTACAGCCCTGAGCCCAGCCAGCTCGGTTCCAACAGTGAAGGGTTCTTGGGGTTCTGCAATACCGTGGTTTTTGTGGGGTGTGTTTTCCTGGCAAGTGTTGGGTGCACTCATTCCTTTCTAAGGCAAGCTCAATGCACATTGCTATGTAATAGTACTGACTGATCACCTTCACCCCGTGTTGAGGCATTTCTTTTCTGCCGGGAGGGGTGTCTTCTAGGATGACAATCCTCAGAATGCGAGTGGTCACCCAGTGGTTTGATGAACATGCCACTGATGTTATCCATATTTTATGGTCTTAAGTCACCAGATCTGAACCCAGTTGAACATTTATGGGAAAGTCTGGAATGTTGTCTGAGATGGCTTTTTCCACGTTCTTGTGGACCAATACTGCCATATTCCTCGTGCAGAATTCTAGATACTGGTAGACTTATGCCATGGTGTACACAGGCCATACCGGCTGCACATGGTGGTCCAATGCTCTTTTAAGTGACTTTACATCGATGTTTCCTTTTTTATTTCATTACCTCTTGTTGTGAAATAGAAAATGTTCTGTTTATTTAGTGCCTTAAAATTAAAGATGAAAGGAACCTACTTTGACCATATCAAATATGCACTGTGACCATGTCGCATGCACTGTCAAGCACATCACCGTCCAGGACGTGTTGTATAAATAACAGCAGCTGTTGCAGAGTCACCTATGATAGGACCTTAGTTTTATTTTACATCACATTCTAAAAAGGAGGTTAAGTAAAGTGCAGCAGCAGTGAAAAACTACTCTAAAGTTAAAAAATAATTATCCTTTCACCCGATTAGAATGTACTGTACGCAATATCTTTTTAATCCACTTGATTGCTAATGTAAATCTACTTAATACATTCTTGAAATCTCCCACAAGCATCCAGCAGAGGCCTATGTTGGAGCCTAATTTTTACCCACTAGTGGAGTTGGGGCTTAAACTGGAAGTCTTTGGTAACAGCCCTTTTCTTCATTTATGTACCCTAATTTTGTGGTTAAATGTTAGCCCAAACCCCTGTAGTTACATGGTTGTATTATTTCACTAGCTGACTGTAGCAGGTATTTCCAACAAGCGGAGTGCTGCAGGGGTAGGAGAGTTCTAGCTCTCCTGTAGGTCCCTGTTGATGACTGGCTCTGAGTGCTGGGCATGTTTGCTGGTCCTTCCCTGCTGTATTTTCCCCTTGGAAAGGGAAAGTGGCTGAGCTGAGTTTTAAAAGAATTGGAAAAGCCAGATTGGGTGTGTGTGTAATAAATGTTTATTTTTTAGGAATGATAACTGCTGAATAAAACCTGTTTCCAGTAATGATATTTACTTATCGTTCTTGCCAGCACTGTTCACTACTAAACTGATTAAAATTTCAAATCAGAAAATGTGTTGGGAAAGGGCTGTAACCTCAGAAAGGACTTAAGAATATTTTTAAAATTTAGTGTTTAACGAACAAGTAAATGCTCAACATGTATATGTGTATTAAAAAAATGGAAAAAGTCCACTCTTCCACTTGTGTATTAGTTATCAAGCAGCCATTTTTAAAATTGATTTTTGGTCATTTTTCCCCCAATTGTCTGCTAAGTGTCCAGGATGATATTGTCTTTATCTTAAACCAGCGAAACAAGCAATACTAATGTAAGTCAATACAGCGTGATCAGCACTCTTCACAAAGCCCTGACATTGATCAGTTAAGAGAATAAACTTTTAATGTTTTTCAAATAAATTATTGTATGTGGAATAAGAGAGGCGTACTCTGCATAGTCAGCAATATAATGTAAAGTTCAGAATTGTATCTTTTCCAGGGCAGGGCAGTCATGATCCCAGTAACGCACAAGACCCTTGTGTAAAAATATATTTTTAAAGCTGATAAAACATTTCGCTATGTGAAGTAAACGGTAAAATGGGTTGGTTGCTATAAACCGCAGTCTGTTATTTAACATCCACTTGTAACCTTGAATATGTTTTGGCTTAAGATATTCCACATGTACTTAATTGAGAAAAAATTATAAACAACTTTTATCAGACCTTGATGAGCTGCTCAAGTAAAATGTGAGACAATTGAAATGCCTTTCACAGTTTTACCGTGTTTATTTTATGTGTTCAATAAATATTGTACTGTTTATCCAGGAAGAGGCTGTGTACAGCAGTGTTTTTGTCTGCTGTTGCAGCCTTACTAATTACTCAATGCCTTTTGTTTTTAGAATAAAGATCCAGATGGCGAAGAGGAAATCACTGCTTCAAAGGTAATGGTTCCTTACTTTAGAGTGTCGTGCCAGACACGTTGACAGAAGACCATTCTAGCGAACATTTTTCATTGAGTTGTCGGTTTGTATCTCTATAGTTTGAAAGCTATTTCTATTAGCAATATTTGCTTTGTTGGTGAACTACTACAGTTCTTGAGTGAGAGGGGGCATATTCAGAAACTGGATTTGCTACACTAATTGGGAACATTGGGGTGTTTTCTGTAGGTAAATATCTGTTGGTTCTTCCTAAGGATTTATAATTCATATAAAGGCTTGACGGTGTATGCAGACAAAGGTGTTATTAACAGCATTCTTTTGATGCACAGCTATTAATTTAGATGTTATGTGTTAGTAAATATGCATTAAATATACTTTGCAGACAAAGTATTAGTACACACTATCTTATCTTTGGTTTGTTCAAATCCCTTAAAAACTTTGAGTGTAATTGGCAAGGAAGTACAGTTTAATATACACTGTTAAACTACATACAATGCTGAATAATATGGTATTAAATGTAGGGTACCATGTGTAGATGATTACTATTAAAAATGATCTGTTTGTGAAGGATAGCTTTGATTCTCAGTAGTCTTGAGTCAATGAGGGGTAGTGGAGTTGTAATCTGATATTGCCTAGTGACTTGTTGCTGTTGAAATCAAATGGCTCTGTTTATTTAGCCAGTCTATCTGTTTTTTAATTTATGTGTTAGGTGACTAGATTCTGCAAGTTGCTCTGAACATGTTCCAAGAGCCTCCTTTTGCTAAATGTTCAGGGCTCCTCTTCATTTAAATCAATCCATTGTCATGCTCCAGAATTCATATCTTCATGGGTTCTCCAGCATGCTCGATTCTAAAGTTATGCGAAAACAAATTGATTTTGTTTTTTTTGCCTTTGTTAGTGAGGGTGGAGTTGAGTAGCATGGACATTTGGTCACCTTTTGCAGGATGAGGATGTTTATTTTTCTCTAACCAGCTGTAATGGTCTAGTGTGTCAGGTTATTGTTACTGTGCTCTAGCAAGCACTTATTGAGCGTGCGCTTATGTAGCTTAGAAATGTGTCAAAATGGTAGAAATGTCAGAGGGTGATACATGTCTGTTCTAGAAGGTTAGTAAAGACAGCATTGAGAATTGCAAGTCATGATTTGACATCTTGTCTGCATGCTGAATGGACCACCAGGAAGGCTGAAACCGTTACTGCTGATCAATTTCATCCAGTCCGCCATGTGCTTCAGCTTGTCCTGTCTGACAGGCACCATGGATCTGTAAATGTCTGTGCTAACCATTTCAGGCACCATTTAATTTCCACTTCGTAATGCTAGAGTGCTTTATTCTGTTTGCATCATGCAAGTATGTGTAAATTCATGGTGCTCTTGAATGTAATGCTGAGTAGTCCTCTACCACCGTGGAGCAAAATCTGTAAGAGTCACAAGGGACAAAAAGGTTTTCAGCATATCAGGCTACACCAATTATATTGAGATATATTTAATATTTGGTAACGTCACTCTGGGTTAAGGAGCATTCAAATCGCTCAGGTCCCCAGTTCTGTAGCTGCATGTAAGCCAATAGGGCTACGATTAAAAAATACAATAGATTGATGGCCATTTGAAGTTCTTTGCAAAGTGTAAAGGGGGGAACTTCAACTTATTCAACTTATGTTTTTAATAATTTCAGTGGATAATATCAGTATTTTAAGCTGTTTTAGGGTTTTGCAAAGTCATTGACTGGATCAACAGAGAACGTGGTATTGTGCGTGTGATTTCAGAATTTTATTTTAAAGTATTAATATGCATAGTGCATGTACAAGCTATGCCGGTTTTTGTTTTTTTTTCAATAAAAATGGCCGAATCTTCTTTTGTTGTGGGTACTGGAGTGGTGTTTGCTAGAACTATTATTTCGAACTACACATCAAAATTTTGAAAGCCATCCAGGATCATTTGAATTTTCCTTCATTTCTGTAAAATGTTCAGCTGTGTCGCAAACCCAGTTTGCTAGTCTTTTACCCATTTTTAATATGAGATCAAGGTATTCACTACAGAACCTCTATACTGATTTTCTCTTCAGCCCCTCAATAGGAGCAGGCATGCCTGATTCTGGAGTGCTACATTTGTGTCTGATGTTCATTCCGGCTCAGACCTTAATAACTTAATTGAACCATTTAAGTGGATAAGAAGTCAAATCAGCTGTTTCCTGGAATTTAATCGGTTGTTTATCCCTGCCTTAGTGAGATGAGACTAAAGTGTAAGAGCTTTGCCTGCAGTGCTTTTTGTCAGCATAGGGTAACCAGTTTAGGGTAGCCAGTACACTTGAGTCTTGGAGAGCATATGTTATTGAGAGGTGTTCCCCAGTGAAAGAAATGCCTGCTAAAAATCCTTCAACTTCATTCAGATTAAATGGTATGTTCATTAAAATGTAAGAAAAGGACAAAAGACTTATCCATCAAAGTTGAGAGAGCAGACTGAGTTCTGTGGCTCAGGTGTTACAAACCTGAGTCATGTCATCAGCCAGATATTACTGGGATTTTCCACGAACAGTGGTGCACATTTGGTCAAGTGACACTTTTGATAGAGTTACAATTTGTGGGCCAAGGCTCTCTCAGCATGCCAAAACAACACAAACTTCTTTGAATTGCCTGTCAGGAGCTGTGGAGCTTGCAATTTGTTAAAGTCCTCGTCTGCCTCTGCTTACCTCTCCAAATAAAAGTAGTTATAGAAGAATTACTTTGTTCTGATTATTTGGGTTGGATTAAAATAGAAATTGAAATTAAAGCAAGTACTGATATTCCTCTTCATAATGGAGATTGTATAACCTAAGTATAAGTATAACCTGTAAAGAAGACCATTTAGTTAAATGTACTTTAATTTTACTCAGGATTTCAAGCCTTTTCTCTTTACGACTCTTCTAAAATTAGGGCAGATTTTACTGCCCAAATAAGAAAATCCTGATCTCAACACAATGCCAGGTGGACATCAGCCATAGGGGAAACCTGTTGCTTTAGCAGCCTAGGCCACAGGCACTAGGGATAGAGTTGGGTATGAATGAGAATGCCCAGATTCTATGCAGACTGACAACACCCATGCTTGCACCCATGGGGTGGAGTGGCAGTCTGTGACCAGGAAATCCTGGTGGGTTGGGTGATCAACCAGAAGTGGAGAGGATGGGTAAGTGGAGCTCCCCTCCACCACCACCAATGTGCAGCATCCACCTGGATGATGCGGCAGCTGCCATAGTGCACCAATATGCTCACCACACATCAGATCTCAGTAGGGAGGAGAACAGAGCGATGAAGCCAGTTCATAGATGGGGATTACTAGGAGGACATGATTGGTAAAGGCCAGAAGGTCAAGGGGATATTTGGCCATGACACCGGGTTTACACCCCTACTCTTTTCAAGAAACACCCCTGGGATTCTTAAGGATCTCAGACAGTACCTTTTTACAGTATAGTGTCCCTGTCACTTTACTGGGGCATTAGGACCCACACAGACCACAGGGTGAGCACTCCCTGCTGGCCCAACTCACACCTCATCCAGCAGCAACCTTAGTTTTTCCCAGGAGGTCTCCCATCCAGGTACTGACCAGGCTCACACCTGCTGAGCTTCAGTGGGCTGCCAGTTGTGAGTTGGCTGCTGGAACCGATGAAGGTCCAGCATTTCAGTGATTTCTGAAATGAGAGGTTGTGCCAGGCAATTATTAATGTTATAATACAATTGGCTGCCGGAACCAATGAAGACATTAAGTTAGAAAATGCAACCAATACACACCGTCATCTTCCCTCCACACTCACCAGAAGACCAGCATTGCACAGGCTGAATCCAGAGTTAATGTGCTCCGTTTCAGCCAGACAGCACTTCATCTGACCAGAATCTCTGAAACTCGGAAACATCTCTGAAACAATCCTAGTTCTGTCTGAACAGGATACCTCTTTTATGCTGTTTGTCCATGAATGCCAGGGGGGCAGCCATCCTCTCTTTTAAGGAACAGGTAGCGGGTTTATTCCATGCTGAAAAGGAAAGTAAGGAAACACAACGTTTCGGCTGTGGAGCCTTCTTCAGGTGAAGAAGGGCAGCCTACACATGCTGACGCATGTCCTCTCTTATTAGATGGGAGGGTGCCCAGAGTGGCACAGAGAGTTTTAACGAAGAGGCTGTGGTGGAGCTGCACAACAGAAAGGCAAGGCAGTTGTGCTATTGGGTGTGCACTTGGGAAAGAGGAGCTGCCTCTTCACTGCATTGTACCTTTGGCTTTATTAGAGGGGATGTCAGGATCCGTTGCCAATGAAATGTGGATCTCAGGGGTTTACAGGATATGTATAAAAATGATTTGAACTTGAAACTTGACTAATGAAGTGGTGCGGTGTGTACAGTGTTGCTTGTCAGATGTACACCTTTTGCCATTTTACTATGACCAAAACTTTACATATACAATAAACTTACTATTATGGATTTTTGACATTTTTTTAAATGTCACTTACACAGACCCCATTATTTTAACTACTTGACAAAAAAACTAGTTTAAAGAAAGTAAAACGTTCACTTAAGACTGTGGTGATATACATTTTCCCTTTCTTCAACTCTGTCAAAGTTGATTCCAGTAACTTAATCATTTAAGTTCTAATAAACCATCTGTTCCTGTGTGAGACATGGACATTTATTACTACTTCAGTATCATTAGGATCTGTCTTAGAAAAGACTGAGATATTGTGCAGTGTTATGGTCTGCAGTTTATACATTCCTTAACTAATGGTAAAAGGTCTAAATATTTTGAGAGTTTGTTAAAGTTAATGATTGCCTGGCACAACCTCTCATTTCACAAATCCTAGTGTACATTGTAAAAACAGTCTTAATGATGGACATTGACTATTTCCTGAGTTCAGAATTTTACACTTAAGTAGTTTAACATCGGTCTTGGGTTGGTAATTTTTTTTTGGTAAGTGAACAAAGATAAAATATACTGTTGATTAGAATTAAAAACATTTCTCTCAGTTTTAATATACAAATCATAGTGT